ATTATATATATATATATATACTGCAACATGGGGTCGCACACATTGTGCAGTGAGCCTCGCTCAGCCGCTGCATGTAGCGGAGTGCTTCCGTCCTGATGAGGGTTTCGGCGCTCACACTCGGACAAGCCAGGCGAGGTTGTTGGAGGGGTGAAAAAGCTCAAGACAGGAAGTCTGAACAATTGCATCCAAGCTGGATACAGATGTTTGGCAGATCCAATCTCTCCTTGCTACCAAACCCTCAGCCCTGAACCCTGAAACCTTGCACCCCAATCTACAGCAAGGATCGAGGTCAAGCTTCCGTTGCCAACTCGGGGCCGCAACTTTACTCAGAACATCGATCATAATCCTTCTTGACGGAGGGAGCTTGTTGATCAGGGGCCTAAGGGCTATGATGATCGAGACAGCCCATTACATACGGTGTTTCCCGTGCTCGCCACTTCATGGTGCTGTCAGGCTGGGATGAACGGAACCGTTGCAAAGGAGGGGGGCGCGGGGTTAAGAGCAAAGTGGTCGGGCTCAGAGGTCATCCAGTTTTCCAAGTTCAGGATTCATGGGATATAGGGCCGCTGCGTAGGGCTTCGGGGCTGGGGTTTAGTATTTCCCGGCAAGTTCGTGGGCTAGTTAATAGTTGACAAGGCTGGGGCAGTGAGCCTAAGATTCTGGGCTAAGTTTACTGGTCTTTGTCGCTTCGGTGCTTTTGTCTCAGGTTATGCCCCAGGCTGGAGATCTGAAGCCAAAGGAACTTCCATGCTAAGATTAGCCCTCGAGGACCTGCAGCCAACCTGAAGAAACAAGGAATCTCGGGTCGAGGCGACGCCAAAGGCTTCGGCGTGTGGCTGGGGCGGTGGATGACCTTCGGCAACAGGGACTTCAAGAGCTTTGGAGGCGTTTAGGCTTTAGGGGGCTTGCGATGCTTGTCTGAATCATTGATGAGGGTTCCCCGAGACATGCACCACGCCCGCAGGCAGGTAGGAAGGTGTCCTGAAAGGCCTAAGCCTAAGCGGTCCTGCGGCAAGGCTCGCCAGCGAAATCGCAAAGCTTTGCCAGGTTGTTGAGCACCCGGCTGACGAGATGGATGCCAGCAGCTGCAAGCCTCAGAAAGTTTGAGCGGGTGGTGGCGGACAAGAAGAGTGCGCAGCACCACCAGCCTCTCCGGCAGATTCAGCACCTCGCTGCCCTTCAAGCAAAGACACGGACGCTGCTGTACGATGCTGGTGTCGACGCGACCTTCAGGCTGGCCTCTTCTGTCAGAGTACGAGCAGCGCACAGGGGCATTGCGACCCTTGGCCATTGGCGCCTACAGGTAGGCTTGGTAAATCCTGCCCGTCAGCTGCAGCCATGAGATCCACGGAGCGTGGCCTCCAGGTGATGTGAAAGTCGATGGCCTGCGGAGCGCTACAGCTTCAAGATACCCATGCGAATAGTTGTGGTGGGTTGTCGCAGGTGCACTGCCCAACACGGAATTTTCCCTGAGATATGCTCAAGATCGCGGACCTTTCAGTCGGGCTTCTTACCTATAAGCGGCGGTTCAGAGGTATTATTGTCCCAGAACGCCGTGCGGCAGCCGAGGTCCCGGAAGCCGCTGTAAACTAACATGTATATGTCGTTTTGCACTACCTCTGGATCAAAGCCTCTCGAACTCAAATCTTCCTTCTGGGCCTTGCTCAGCATGCAGTGTTGGCGAACTTTTTGAAGCGGAGGCATGAGCCATTTCCTCGCTTCGTCAACCTTTGCGTCGCGCTTGAAGGCTGCACACGCATCCGTCTCAGCCTGGCGCTTCTCAGCTGGCGAATAACCTCCGTAGCACCGTCCATAGAAAGCAGGTGTAACGACTCTGGCCACGTACTCGCCGTTGCCACTCGTGAAGTACTCGAAATGATACTCCGGATTTTTGGCGTGTGTGTACCTGCCCAAAAAGGCCTGAACAGCGTTCCTTGGAGCCAGCTTTCTCCATGCTAAATCCTTGAAGCCAATCTCATCTTGCAGAGTCTGCGCCAATGCTGCGAGTTTCCCCGTCTTAATCCCGTCAATGACATTATCTAGGGTGTCCTCGACGGGCCGGCGGACAGGTGGTTCTGCGCTTGCTTGCTGCTCCGCGTCATCAAGTGGGCCTTCCTCCCAGGGAACCTCGGATTCCTCCCACTTGACCTCCTCCCAATATTCGCCTTTCACCTCTTCATCCCCTTGCCGCTTAACGTCAGTGCCGAATTCTTCAAACAAGAACTTCGGCCGCGAAGGCGTTGAATCCGTTGGGGCTGGTGACGATGCCACTGCTGACGCGGCTGAGACACTTGAACTTGCACATGATGGGAACCACTCATGCACGGGCTCCGATTTCATTGCCGAAGTCTCCTGAGACATCATGGTGTCTTGGGAGAGGCTCAGCACCTCCTCTTGGGAGGAAGGGGCCCTCATAGATTGCGTCGACGACAAGTCCGGCTCCTGTTTTACATTCTGCCGCTTCAAGCTTCCAGGACCCGTGAAAGTGGGCCGCCGCCGCTTCATTGCCGAAGTCTCCTGAGACATCATGGTGTCTTGGGAGAGGTCAGCGTTCACCTTCTGCCCCTTCAGGCTTCCAGGACCCGTGAAAACAGACCGCCGCATGATTCTACCTCGTGGCCTGCAACAAAAACGACTTTGCTAGTTTTGCAGCACTGCACTTCTCGAACTGGGGGGGGTCTTGACGTCCATGTTGGATTTTTCTGAGCCATACGTACGAATATGGTGTTGCTAGTACATCTGCGACCCTGAAGCCACATAGCTCTGACAGGTGAAGGCCACGTTTTCACGACATGCCATCAACAAAAATGCCCTCATCTCACCTGCTGACAGGCTGCGAACACCTTGCCACAAACACGCGAAACGCCCGGCCGGGCGCGCCTGAGGCCGGAAGCTGCTGTTGGCACCTTCTGAGCCTCGCAGTGAAGCCACGGGAGCAGAAGCACCATAGCGAAAATGCGAAACAACCCAGCAAGACCAAGTCCTTCAATCGACGATCCGTTAAGCAAACCAGTGCAAGACCCTCGATGACTCGATGCATGAACGAGCAAATCAAATCGTCATCCCATCTATAGCTCCAAGCCACTTCGCAAAAATGACAAACCCCGCTGAAACATGGACATTCTGTGTGCCGGCGGTGCGTGACGCTCTTGGTACTGTAGCCTCTGCTGAAACCTCACGAAGAATCTCCAGGCTGCCGCCCAAAGGTTGCACTCTCTAATACCCTCTTTTCATTCGACCTTGGACCAGTGCCAAGCTGTCTCCCCCGTCTATCTCGCATGCCGCTAATCACTTTCCTGGCTCCAGGTATTTGGTGGCTGCTCCAAAACATGAGCAAGCAGGCCTTGCACGGAAGCTGCAAGACATCTCTCTTGGAAGTCCATGCCCACCTGCGTTGTAGAACTTATCAGCTGCGCAATATTGCACAATATTATTGCGCAATCAATCCGCCACATGCCGACACGGCGGAGCGATGCAAAACGCAGTGGGCATGGCAACTCGTCGCTCCCGGCCTCTGTGACCACGAAGTCTGAAAGAAACAACTTCGAAGTCTGCGCACGCGAGGTTGGCCGAGACCTACACCAAGACCGCCTAATCCGTCCTGCCTGCGACGGCGATATTTGGGAAGCCAAGGCCCCAGCTTCGCAACACATTCGGGAAAGAGAGATCCGACAGGGAGCACCCTTTGAAAAGAAAGCACGGGAGACTGGAGCAGAGGCCAATAGGACTCTCGATGCCTGCTGCGCTCGCGCGGCAGCTTCTTTCCAAGTTTTCGACGCCTCGGCATAGCACTTCCGAAGACCTGAACCACGACACAACAGCTGCTGTGAAGCAGCCGCAGCTTGCACCGCAATTCTACAAGAATCGCTGATGACATCGGGAAGAACTGCTAGACAGACTTCATGCTTTCAGATGCCAAGGAAGAGGCCCAGCTCCCCTCGTTCCCATGCTCGCCACACTTCACCACCCGCTGGGATGGTCGCCTCCCTTCAGGCCTGCCAGATACGATTCGATGAAAGAGACTGTAATGGGATGACTCAACGAGAGACACCTGCAAGCAGCTAAGTATCGCACCCCCGCCCGCGGCCGCGCGCGCAGACAATTTTGGAAGTAGCTCCATGCATGTATAGGAGAATATAGGATGACCTTTGACACGCACCGGTGTTGGAGTGAGTGGGAACTCTGGCAAGGGCAAGGTGTGTTGGGGAAAGGCCAGCACTTTCGAGGGACGATGTGGTATGCCTGCCGGACAGCAGGATCTCATTGCAAAGAAGCTCGCATCTGGAAACGCACGAAGGCGCAAGGTGCAAAGGTCTTTTTCCTCGTTAGCCGAAGGCGGGGGTGACTTTAAATTTGAACACCCCGAAGCGCCTCGAGCAGGATGCCTGGGTCTTGGAGAAGCTACGTCACTCCAGTTTGCACTGCGCCGCAAGCTGTCTTGTATCGGTATCATACAACAGAACGGCGGCAGCTAAACTAAACACATCTCGCCCTATAACACCCTACACTGATAGCCTACACTCTCCCTTTTACGCTTCCCATTTACAGCTCCAGCTTGGCCAGCAGCGCGCCGTCCACGACCTGGGAGTTTCCGAAAATTAGGGGTACCATCTTTTGGGGTCCTTATACTAAGGATCCTATTATTTAGGGTACTAAATTAGGGTCCCCTATTTTCAGAAACATTACCCTAAACCCTAAACCCTAAACCCTAAACGGGTCCCCTATTTTCAGAAACCCCCCGAGGACCTCGTCATCCACCGCAATGCACACCTCCAGGATGGTGCAATCCGCCGGCGCTCGCACGAGAACCTGGGGTAGTAAGGTTCGGGTTTAGGGTTTAGGGTTTAGGGTTTAGGGTTTAGGGTTTAGGGTTTAGCTTGCATGGTTTGGTTAGGTAGTATTATTAGGGGTACCCCTTAAAGGGTACCCATTCTGAACCCTACTTTTGGCTCTCGCAAAAGGGACCTTATTGAGAGGGTCTATATCCCCAAGGGTCCCCCTAATCCTATCTCCCAGAACCTCCATCTTCATGGCCACCACCGTGAAAAGGAGGTCGTCCTTCTTCACCTCAGCACCCTCTTTGATGCTGGTTTTGATGACCCCAGGCAGAGGGCACGCCACGTGGCTCTTCTTGGATGGGTCCGCCATGGGGCCCTTGTATGACGCTGCTCCAGGCGGTGGGTCATAGATTGAGACTGGGTACGCAACGCCGTCCACCAGCCATTCGCAAGTCCTCATGAAGTCATGCTCCAGCGGGCCCACTCGATTCAGCGTGATGGTTGCCTTCGTCCTGGGCAAGGCAGCATTGGCCTGTGCCTCGGCTTCCACCACGTTCGGCCCTGGCACCTCGAACTCGATGGTCTCGTGCACGGTGAGCCCGTAGAAAAAAGCCCCAGTCGGCAAGCATGTAGCCAGCGGCCCCACCTTCGCTAGATGCTTCATGTAGTCCCGGAACACTCCAGGGTACATAAGGAAGGCATTCATGTCCTCACTTGTTGGTTCCTTGCCGAACTCTGCCTTCATCGCCGCCTTCACCTTTTCAAAGTCCTCCGGTGCCAGTGTATCGCCTGGCCGGCCTTCCATAGGCTTCAGCTGACCTTTGAGAATGGCATCCTGCATGCGCCGCGGGAAGCCGAAGTGAGGCGTGCCCATCTCGCCTGCGTTTGACAAGAACCGTGGAACCGTGGATGAAACTCTTCCACACGCCCTTCCGTGAAAGTAGCTATTTTCATCTTTTCGCATGACTCCCTCCTCGTACAGCAGGACAGATTCAGATACACACATGAAAAAGGGATCCATAAAAGGAGCCGATCTGCAATGAGGCCTATACATTCAACAGCGTATCTTCTGGTTATTTTACATGCCCTGCACCACCCAATTCCCTCTTTCAGCGCCTCGAGCGAGCTCGATGGCACTCTGCGGCCAGTGAAGAGCCTGCATCTTCGGCATGTTGTCAAAGTCCTGAGTTGGTTGAAAGCCCCAAGGTCTCCATGGAGGCAAGAAATTGCAGGCGAGTAAAGGGGACCAGCAAGGGAAGGGAGGATCTGTTCCCAAAAAAGCCTAAGGCTCGTTAGGTTCAATTCCCTGCTTCACCAGGAAGAGGGCGATGTCGCCAACGGCCTTTGAGGACGGCGTGACCTTCACGATGTCGCCGCACCACATGTTGACATCGGCGTACATCTGTAGGATATGGTCCCAATTATCACCTCCAAGTGCGTGGCACTGAGCATACATGTTCGAATACTGGCCGCCAGGCACCTGAAACATGGCTGTAGGTGGTTTTTGGGGAACCGTTGCTTGACTTTGTGTCTGCTGGTTTGGGGTCTAGACGGGTAGCGCAGATCTGAAACCGTGAATGATGTAACCATCCCGCATGCCCCCTGAACCCTTTGGTCCCATGGCCGCCTGGTGCTGAAAAACACGAGCGGTCATTGCCTTCATGCCGCTCTCAAATGGGCTATACATGTCCCGCACGGAAGACCAGTAGGCATCCAGGCCTTCAAGCTTCCTGTAGTTGATCTTGGGATCGCGTGGCCTTCCTTCCATGGTCGCAAGGAAAGCATTCAGGGATGGCTGCGAAGTGCCATCTGCGAAGGCTGCGAAGCAGCCGTCCACGATGTCGCAGCCGGCATCTGCCATGGCATGCAAGGTGGCAAGCTGTGCAGACGATGTGTTGTGGGTGTGGAAATGTATGGGGAGATCCGTCACTGACCGAATCACCTGAATCATTGGGGCTGCGTGAGCTGGGCGCAGCAATCCCGCCATGTCCTTGATCGCGATCATGTGAGCACCCGCATCAACGCACTTCTGACAAAGGTCCTTGTAGTAGTCAAGGGTATAGATCTTCTCGTCCGGGCTCAGGAAATCCCCAGTGAAACACATCGCAATCTCTGCCACCTGGGTGGTTGTCAAAATTATGGTCCCTTTTTGGGTCCTCATTACAATACGGCACCTATTATTTAGGGTACCCCAAAAGAGACACCATAATTTTGACAACTACCCACCTTCTTCATCTTACGGACGGCGTTGATGGAGACCTTCATCTGCTCAACATCGTTAAAGCAATCAAAGATCCGGAACACGTCCATGCCGGAAGTTGCCGCTTGCCGAACAAACTCTTCAACGACGTTGTCCTGAGCTTGTGGTAAAAGAACCTTTCCGTGTGAACCACATATCTTGTCACAGCTAGTAGGGAGGCTTCATGCAGAATTTTGTTTGCCTTAATGTGCGGGCAGGTGTGTGAATCCGGTGTGCTTAGCACTCCAGCATGCTTGATTCCCTTGCGTTCGACTGCACAGATTCATAATGCGCGCTTCATTCTCTAAGCAACCGAGGGTCAGGGTAGGACTTGTAGCCGACTCCGTTGGCGCCCCGCAGCAACATCTGCGTGCAAATGTTGGGGATTGCGGCACGCAGCTCCTCAAGTCGTCGGAAGGCGTCCTGGCGTTCTAGCCTAAGGCTCGTGAAACCGCGAAAACCAAAGCCGCCGCGGAAACTCTATGGAAAGCTTCCACCCTGGACCATTGATGAGAATTCCTCGATGGGGGCATGTATGTAGCGCTGCTTTGTTGGAAATTCTACGTAATTCGTGAATCGCGTCATGTCGCACATGCGAGTGCAACCGTCCTCGTTCAAGAACCGATATGCAACGTCAAAGGTGGCACCGCCCCAGCACTCCAAGGAGAAGTACTGGTGCAGGTGTTTGCTCATCTCGGGAGCGGCCTTGAGCATGTCGGCCGTGCGCATGCGCGTAGCGACCAGCGACTGGTGTGCGTCGCGCAGGGTAGTGTCCTTTGCTGTTCATGAGACCCAGGAAAATTCAGGATAAACAGTCCTAGATAGGTCCTAGCACTTCGGCTGTCCCGTCGGACAAAGCAACATCTTCGTCCCCCTTGCACTCGAAGCCCAAGTGTCGGTGACGAGGATGCGCTCCTTCGAGGTGGCTCGTACCCACTTGGCCATGGCTTCCGGCCCCTCCTCGTCCAGGATCTGCTTTGCGTTGCGCTCCGGCTTCGCCGCAGGCTCTGGCTCCACCTTGAGGTAGCAGTTGCGCGGACAATCCTTAGGACCTTTTCCCTTGAAGAAGGAGCTGTCGCCCTTCATCGTTTGCTCTGTCAGGAAGGTTAGGAGCTTGGGAGGGGTTGGAACGGAGCGCTGTCGCTTGCTCTTTTGCTCTGCTGGGGCTGACGTCAGTGCCTCCCTCTCCTCGGGGCTGTACTCCTTGAACTTTCCCATGTTGCGGAACTTTTGGTACCGTTGCTCCACGAGCTTGGACTGGTCCATGTCCGCGAGTTCCTGCAAGCTTGCCTCCACAAAGGCACTGATGTTGCTCATGGTGGCAGGGAATTCGTTGCAGTCCTCACCATCCTTCTCCCAAATCACTTCGTCGATGACGCCCAGCTCCTTCAATTGGGGTGCGTAGATGTTCTGCTTGGATGCCAAAGCCATGCAATCCTCCGGAAATTGCACCTTCTTATGGTCGTCATCCTTATATCGACCCAAAATGGAGGCTGCACCCTCCGGCGTGATAGTGGAGTAGTAAGCCTTGGAGAGCATCCCGATCTTGTTGCCCATGGCGATGGCCAGAGCACCACCAGAGCCGCCCTCACCGACGATGATGGTCACGATGGGCACCTTCAGCCCACCCATCTTCGTGAGATTCCTGGGTTGTTGTTGGGGCCATATTAAGAACTGAAAGGTTCATTTCCTGTCAGATTGCATGATTTACCCTCATATAAATACACAGACATAAAGAGAGAGAGAGAGAG